TGTGTGTGTGTGTGTGTGTGTGTGTGTGTGTGTGTGTGTGTGTGTGTGTCGCACAGGAGAGATCTGAGCTAGAGGTATAGTCTGTTAATAATCACATAGGACACGAAGCAGGGGAAATGGCAGGCATTAGTGTTAGGATGAGAAACATCTCTTCCATGCAAAGAAGCAAAGTAGTTTGTGAGGGAGAGTAGGCGGAGAAGTACGGTTACTTATGTCTTCTGGCCACTATTTTCCTTGTGAAATAGGATATGAGATGGACTGCAGGGTAAGGAGTGACAGGTTTGATGGACTGCAAAGGGTAGATAGAATAATTAAAGGGAAAAAAAATTAGAAAAACATTTTAAAGTGACTATTTATATTGGATGTGAGCCAAGGCAAAAATACCAAAGAAACACAAATCTACACATCTACACTATCTGTAAATTTTCTTTGTCAATTATCTTTTTGTTCCTACATATTTCCTTCATATGTTTCAGTGGTATACTCAATGCACTATTTGGCTCAGGAGAGTTTTATCTGAAGGCAGACTCTATGCTTCAGCATTATAAAGTATTCCACTGCCATGCAATACTTTTATCCCATCAATGCTGTTGGATCACAATATTGCAAACCTTTTAAACTCCCATTTGCACTACCCTGGAATATCATTGCCCATATTTTTTATTTAAATTAAGTCATTTTAGGTTTTGTTCTTTTGACCCAATCTGAATTTTTTTAAATACATGCAACTATTCCATTTAAATAGGCTTTAATAGATACTGTCTTATTTTTAATCTTATTTTATCTTTACATTTTTTATGCTTCCTTCCTATTTTCTTTCTTTTGCTATATGGTCTGTACTTTCAAAATTCATCTTTTGATCTGGCAATTTAGACAGTACACAGTGTTTTTATTTTATGAGTTTTTATCCATGTCTCTGATAAAATATATTTCTCCCACTAACTTCAGCAATACCCACTGACCACTCACCTTATTCTGTTCTCTTTTTCAATCACAGTAATTACCCGACATTCTATCCTCTGTATATATGGTCTCTCTTAGTCTTATTTCTTGTTGCTTTTTTCTGCTTTCTGTATGATTTTTAAGTCTTTACTCCATGGGTTATTTTCCTTTTTCTGCAGTGTCAATTCTGTAGTCACTCTAAGTTTTTAGCTTCTTGTATCATCAGTCCATCTTCAAAATTATATCCTTAACAGTTTCTTTTGATCATATCTGTTTCACAGAACTCTCCCTCATCCAACCTTTTTAAAATGCTCTTGATAGCATGAAGTGGCTAAAATAATTCTTCCATTTTGAGTAAATATTCCTTTGTATTTTCATCTCTCTCTCACACTGCTCCTTTTCTTTTGTTCCTACATTTTAGTATCATCTCTGATAAAAGAATTGATTATTGGCTTGAAAACTCATTTCTTCACTGGATTTAAATTACTTTTTATCTGTCTATATTCTCCAGGGTTTATGACATGAGGTGGCAGCTTTTGTACTTTTAACATAAATGATACTTTAAAAATATCTGTAAAATGTTTATTGTTGTTCATAAAGGGCTTTTTCTTTAACATGTTCCCAATTTGCTATTTTTCAGACAATCTCTTTAAGATATTTAGAATCTTTTCAAAGACATTTGTACATACTGCTGAAGAATATGATATTCTGGAAATTCATAATATTTATTAAAGTTACAAAGCCATCGCAGCATCAGTACCACACTATTGAATATACTTATTAAATGTGAATTATTCGTGCAACGAATTCACACAAAAATATTTACATTCAAGGGCGTCCATCATTCATTAGTACAAGCCATCAAGTAAGATGAGGCTGCAAGTGAAAAGACCAGGCCTCAGCTGAGAATCCTGGAGAGAATGTGCTTTGCCACCAAGTACAATTCCCAACAAAATTTTCTACAGGTTCTATTTCAAACTGAGAAGCTACTAACAGAGAATTTCCCTCAGACTTTGTTTTCATGGAACTGTACTGACACAACTTGACAGATATGCTTCTTTTTAAAGATAATCAGGGGGTCAGACAACTGTAATTTCAATTCAGCAGGTTGCCAAAAACGCAGACACATCCTGACAAAGCAGTGATGTCCCAAATGTGGCCAAATGCCAGTGCTACACACTACTTTAATGGTATTAAGGAAGTACTAAGGAGTTTCCTTTTGTTCAATTGGATAAAAATGGAACAAAAAGAATCTGCTGCTAATATGAATAGAAAAGGCAAAAAAATACTTTGAGGAATAAAAGAAAAGGTAAAGACAGATGTCAGATTAGAGAAAATGAGGATAAATATAGGATATTACAACCTTCAGGAGCCCATGAGATGAGAGATGAGAAAAACAGATACTTAAGACAAAGATAGCAATGTTTCTACAATAAAACCAAAATATGCAAGGGCTAAGACACCAGATGTCATCGATCATTCTTTCCTGGTAGACAGTCCAATTCAACAAGAGCATTTTGGCTCAGTAAAAATGGAAAGTTTAAGTGCTGAGAAAGTGCTTAGAAGAAAATAAAAGAGGATATATTATCAAGATTTTGTAGTAATGTTTTTCAAAACAGAAATTGGTCTACTGCTTTTCCTTACTGTAAGTCATAAATATTATAGAAAGGTAAATTAGTATTCCTAATTTATACCGACACATGATTTAAGAATTCATGGGAACAGCGTGACTGTAAACTGCTTGTAATATGTATGATAATCTAATGTGAGAGAGATTTAAAAAAAAATTCAAGTTCCTTAGCATAAGCAAAACAGACGATAACCTGGACACTGCCAAACTTTCCAATTCTGTCTCTCACCATTCTATCAATTATAATTGCTGTAACAAATCATTTGTTGTTACCAGAATCCACTGTACCTATTACATCTTCCTAGAACAGAATACCTCTCTTTTTTCAGGTAATTCCTAATTGCTCCTAAAGACTATTCTCACCTCCTGAGAAGCTGCCCACCACTCCACCCTTTGCAACTCCTTTGAATTAGGCACTGCACTACTGTATTTACTTCTGTAAATCTCACAGTACACTCTATGTAGATCCCTGGTAGTCATGGGTTTATAATCTGAAAAGTCTGGCCATTCATAAGCAAGATACCCTCCTACACCCAAAATCTGGGACAATGAGATATTTGCAATTATATTTTGGCATTAATATGAAACCAGTGTGCCACATGATTGGTATGCAAGAGGAAATCTGCTAGTAAGGATCCAAATTGAGCACCCAAAAGTCACTGCTTAACAAAACTTGTTTCTTTGTCCTTGTATCAGTGTTTCTCACTGTGACCCACAGTAATATTTATTGTTTATATCACCACCTACTACACACTTACACATATAAACAAAGTGCAAAAAATACTTATCCTGTACAAGAAGCACTTTATTGTTGTTATTCTAGCCTCCCTGCTCCCTTCATTAAGTTGCTGGTAACCTCTGAAGGGATTTCATAAGTAATGGGTTACGACCACTCCCCCTCTCAAAAAAAAAAAAAAAAAAAAA